GTGAATTTACCTTGATCGAGCATTATTCCTAGAATGAGAGGAATGGAGAGCTTAATCGGAGAGAAAGCAAAAATAAAAAAAAGTGTCAAACAAAATTTTATATATGAAAGAATGAAAAATACTAAGTGAGCAATAAGAGAACAATTAATACACAACACTACAATCTTTATGTTAGGTTATGTAAATTGGCTGCCAAAGAAGGTTTGTTGTGGATGAGAAACATAGAGAGTCACAGAAAAATCAAGTCTTTGAACTGTAACATGTTACGAAGAAGCTCAAAGACATATATACATAGTGTCCAACCACATGAAAGATGAAACAAATCAAATCTTTAAAAGGCTAAAAAACTTGTAAATGAAACTACTAATAAACAAACTGAGATAAGCTAAAGCCAACTGCTTAGCAATTCAAAAATCACCTACTCTATCATAGATTATCTGTTGTTAAGTAATGGTCATTTTTTCAAGAAAATATAGATTAAGGGGTATTGGATAACTTACCAAGATGTATATTGTTAAAAAAATCTGGTCAGAATTAATGTATTTGAAAAAGTCATGGAATTCCATCACAAAAAGATTACCAAATACCTCAATGGCACAAATGAAGAATGTGACATGCATTTCATCTAGCCAACTGCCATAAGTAGTTGTACAAGCGACTCATAGAGTTTTTAAAGTAAAAATATCAAGAACCAGCCGTGATAACCTCAGAATTTCACATAATTAAAACATAAAAATAGAAGTTAACTTACTTCAAAAGTTAGAATTTGTCTCATGTATATAAAATAAAAGCAGGATTTTGTAAGAGTAAAGAGATGAAAACAAAACCTTTTCCAATAAAAGTGAACAAATGGTAGGATTATCATAAGCTTCTGGCTAAGAAGATGAATCCTTCATATGAACTTTCAAAGGAACAACCTTTATCAAAAATTCATGATCTTCTATTAAAAAAACACAAAAAACAAAAAAAAAAAAAACAAAAACAAAACAAAACAAAAAACAACAGCAACAAGAACAATAACAAAGACAGACCATACAATTCATCCAAACCTACATCAAAGGCAACGAAAAAAAAAAAGATCGTCCAGCAAAAAGAATCACCCAAATGAAGAATGACTAATAACCAGCATCAAACTCCTATGGTGCTCTTGGCTCTCTATCTTCTGCTCTCCCTTATCTTGATGGTTGTAGTGGTCGACTCATTACCAGTGGTGCTCGCCATGGTGTTGTGGCTTCGTTTTTCATTTTGTTTTGTGGTAGATGTTTATGTTTTATAAAGGCGATGCTAATTCTACCATATAGGTGTTATGTTTTGTTGTTTTTATGTTATCAGTTTGTAATAATAGAGATGGTATTCTCACTGATCTAAAGTTTCTTTTTTTTTAGTCCAACCTTCTAGATTTGTTTCTTGGCAGTGCAATAGGTGATGGGGTACAATTACCAAATTTGTTTCCATGCCGGGTCGCTTATGTCACCATTATTTATGTCACCATTATTTAGGGTTTGGTCACGGTCAACTGATTTTATCCATCCACTATAGCAATTCTATCTAACGAGCTTACGTCGCAATAGGTGATAGGGTTTGGCACTTATGTTTCGCTTTCATACTTCATCCGTCTTTTCTAGTGGATACAGTCAATGTTCGAGGTCAAATGTTCTTATAGTTTGTGGTCATATGGGACTAGTAATAAAACTTAGTTTATGTGAAATGAAAGTTTTCCCTTAAAAAAAAAATAAAACAAAAGCATAATAAGCCTAAGTAAAACAAATAAACTCCAAATCAAAATTAACAAAAAAAAAAAAAAATGATAATTATATACAAACAGGTTGGGATTGAGCGAAGGCGAGACTCCTAAATCCATCACGTAGCATAAACCGGTGACCAGAATACAAGTTTAATTTAATTTTAATCCTCTCCTAAAAAAGGGGGTTAACCCGTTCTATTGAAGTCGAGGACTGCAATTAATCGGTGGCCAATGGATGAATTTATCATCAGTAATTAAAATTCTCATCAAGAATACAACATAAGGGTTTCATTTGTGAATAATGCTATGTGAATTTAATTTCTTTATCAAACTGTATTATTATTATTATTATACGTTGTATTTTATAAGCACAAGATGTTACCGATGGCACAATCATTGATTGCTTTTGTTCCTTTCATTCTTCCCCATACTGCCACATTTCATGGATCTTAGACTTAATAATTATTCGTTGTATTTTATAAGCACAAGATGTTACCGATGGCACAATCATTGATTGCTTCTGTTACTTTCATTCTTCCCCATACTGCCACATTTCATGGATCTTTGACTTGTGGAACACCATCAACCACCCAACCTGCATAGAGCATGACACTATAAGTTTTAGACTTAAAATTGACATATACCAATAAACATAAATTATTATACAAATGTCACAGTCAAGTATATTTAAAAATAGTAAAATCCATAAAAAATATAAATATATATATATATATAACTACAAAATTCACACAAAATCTCAATGATACTGAATGAAATACACAAAAATGTAAGTATAATTTTACTCGTACACAAAACTTATATGATAGTATAATGGTATATTTTGTAATAATTTTAATACCCATAATAAAAATCAATCTAACTTTAAAAATTATGGCATATTGCCTAAATATCTCACATGTGCATATCCTGAATTTTCAGGTTTCTTTGCATTATAAACCGGTATATGCATGAACCATTGCAACAATAATTGATTCATTAAACAATTAATATTCAACACGCCTGAAGTGGTTAATGAGAAATATCAAGTACGAGTTTCATAAAAGCGTTTAAGCAGTGTTGGATTTAGAATTAATTCGGATGCAAATAACGATAAAATTTATATTTTAAAATAATAGAAAAATTCGAATAAAGTTATAATTGTTCTTGACAAGTTTTTCGCGTTTTGAAAACTTGCATGATAACTTTATTATCAATACTACAATCAAATTGTTATTCATCCATTAATCGCCCATTCAATTGTATAAACGATTCTTCATTCATTTATAATAGAAAATACTCTCCCGATTGTCGCAATAGCTATGCGAATAATAAATGTAAGCGTAACATGCAAATAAATCAATGAGTGTAGCTTAGGCCCTGTTCATTTCACCTATTCGAGTTTTGTTACAGTAAAAAGCTCTCAGAAACAGACACATCTAACTTTTTTGCTACAGTAAAAAACTTTCACATAAAGTCACATCTCAACTCGAATTAAAAACTCGAATCAGCGAACTAAACGGCCCTAAGTTTTTAAGCTACTAGTTCTTGATGAGACTTAGGGTGTTTTTAGTCGTATCGGCTTTTCATTTCACATCGCAAGTAGCTATAGCTCAAAGCAAAACATGGGGATGTTCTTTTAGTTAAAGGGATAATAACGACTAGTCACCTCTCTTTGCATCGTATTATTTAGAGCATTTTTCACGGTGGTGCAGGGTAAAATACGCAAGTAAAATGTCCTTTGACTTGGTGATATAATAATGAGTTCAAGTCTACTCTTGTTATAATGCTCCAACTCAGTATTTTTTAGGAACTACTTTTGTTAACAATTTTTTTAATAATTCAACAAATAAAATATATATACATCAAGGAATATTACTGATAAATAAAAAGATATTTCTATATGTTCTTTCAATGAAAAATTGTATTAAATAATTTGATTTACGGATTAATCGAACATTTCTTTTTTTAATAGATGTTATCATTAGAACTCATTCTGTTAGAACTAATATTTAAATGTGAGCTTATAAATATTTTTTTTGTTTTTTGAAAATTTTTTATATTTGATTTATGATTGTGTTTGTTATATTAATTAAATCTTGTATTTTTTTTAAATGAAAAGGTTGTCTAATTTGTACATTAAATTAGTACGATATACAGCACCCAAACATCGCTTCATTGACACTATTAGATAATTTAAAATCAAACGACTTGTAAAACCTGCGCCATCGGCAGATTATTTTCAAGGATGAAAATATCGATATTTACGAAAATATCGGCACTTAAATTTTATGAAAATATCGATAGAAATATCGATATCGGTGGAAATTGACATAAAAAAAAGGAAATTCATACTAAAACACCCTATTTTCAAATGGGACTTTAAAAACCTTAAAATAGATAATAATACATTAATTAGATGAAATTATCAATTAAAATACTAATTACTTGATAAATATGCAAGGTAAAATGTGATCATAATCCCGTAAATACTAAGCACATGTTCACAAATTAAGTAAAATAGCTTAAAGACAACATAATGCATATACTATGCATATATGGTTTCATATGTGACGATAAATTCTCAGCACCAAAAGGAGCTTTTACAAGGTTGGAAGGTATTTTGAACACATTCTTAGTTTAAACTTGTATTGAGACGAAGACATGAAGTTTGAATAGCTCTTCATATAATTTTAGACATGTCATATTATTTTATATTTTTTTGAAAATAACAAAAAATATATATATAAAGTTGCAGAAATTTCTATGGAAATTTTAACTATATGGAAATTTTACCTATATTTTCACAAAATTTCCTTAAAATAACCACAATATTCAGTCATTTAACACTACATTTTACTCAGAAATGAAAATTTCCGTAAAAATATCGATATTTACAGAAATATTAGTGAAAATTTTAAGATATCCTG